AGGTCATGTGTTTGCTTGTTTCTTTAAGTATTGCATTTAATAATGAGGTGTCATTGTCTCACCAGTCCAAGTGAAGTACAGAAAACTCCACCTCTCTTTACATTCCTTCACCTTACCTTGCTTAAAATGTACGGTTCATTTTCATTAATCACGGTAGTTACATTCTATAAGGTCTCTGTGAACACTGAATTAGCAAATACTAAATTACTGCTCCCAAGGGAAATACAGAGTTAAATTCCTTTGAGCCTCAGGTTTCATTTTCATCAATACATAACCTGTTTTATGCATGTTTCTGTTTAAAGATACCTTATTTAATATATATTGTTGATTCAGCAACATTGAACTCATGGCTGACAGCACTATAATTTATGCCTAAATGAAGCTTATCCAACACATGTATTTTCTCCATAAAGCACATCACAACCTTCCTGCACTTTAGAACGTGAGACAAAACTTCAGCATTACACTTGGAGGCGATTTTAAACAGCAAATTGATAAATAAAAAGCACAAAAAAATATGTCACACTAGGTAGACAAAGAGCATTTGTTTACAGTATGAGAATTAAGAGGACAGGATGTCACCTTATTTGGCCTCATCATAGAACATGTATGTCAGTGACTCAAATTTTTTGCCAGTCTGCACTTGTAAAAATGGCACGAGTATTAATTTGAGAGTTACAAATACATTTTAATGAGCTGATGAATTGGCAAATATAGAATCTGTAAACAATGAGCATAGACTATAAATGTCTTAAATGTTTTTCTACAAACATTTAGAACCATATCAGACAGTGTTATGATTTTTGCTAAAATCATAAAACAATTTGGAAACTCAAGGAGATAAGAAAAACATTGCATTACGTTATATGTTTGCTTACTTTGTTCCTTTTTTCTTTACTGATGTTCCAGATTTCCTTCTTTTATCATTTCTTTCTTATTTAGAGAATTTTTTTTCTCTCCATCCTTCGAGGGTAGTTCAGCTAGTGGCAAATTCTTTTTGTTTTCTTTAATCTGAGAATGTCTTGATCTCCTCTTCATGCTTCAGGGATATTTTTGCTGGGTGTTAGATTTGAGGTTGTCAATCTCTTCTCCCACTACCTGAAAATTGTGTCACTTCCTTCAGAGTTCCATGGGGTCTGATAAGAAACTTGCTGTCGTTCAAGTAGGTTTTTTTCTTTATAGGCAAAGAATATGCTATTTTTCTTTGGCTCTTTGCAAGATTTTTCTTTGCCTTAGTTTTTGGAAGTGTAATTATGAAATGTCTTGGCACGAATTTCTTTAAGTTTATCTCTTTTGAGGTTGGCTCAGCTTCTTGAATTTGTAGCTTTATGTTTCCTGGCAGATTTGGGAAGTTTTCAGCCATTATTTCTGCAAGGACATTTTTAGCCCAAACTTTCTCATTTCCTTCTGAGATTCAGTGATATGAATCTTGGATATTTCTTTAAATTTTTTTAAACGTTTATTTAGTTTTGAGACAGAGAGAGACAGAGCATGAATGGGGGAGGGTCAGAGAGAGAGGGAAACACAGAATCCGAAGCAGGCTTCAGGCTCTGAGCCGTCAATACAGAGCCCGATGTGGGGCTTGCACTCATGGACCATGAGATCATGACCTGAGCCGAAGTCAGTCACTTAACTGACTGAGCCACCCAGGCGCCCCAAATCTTGGATATTTCTTATAGCCCTACAGGTCTGAGTCTCTCTTCATTTTTTTTCTCTGTTGTTTAGATTGGATAATTTCTACTGTTCCGTCTTTCAGTTCACTAATTCTTTCCTCTGTCCTCTCTGTTCTGTTGTTGAGTCCATCCACTGGGCTTACTATTTAATTATTGTATAAATTTCAGTTCTAAAATTTCCATTTGGCTCTTCTTTATTGTCTTCTAATTCTTTTCTGAGACTTTCTATTTTTCTCGTTAGACTTTTGTTTTTTCATTTCGGTGTTTTCATTGTCGCTTCTTGAAGCATTTTTATCATGGTTGCTTCAAAATATTTGTTAAATAATTCCAACGTCTCTGTCACTTGGTGGTGGCTATCTTTGATTGTCGCTTTGCACTTGGTTTGTGATCTTGGTTCTTGGTATGATGGGTGGTTTTTTTTTTTTTTTTTATTGAAATGTGGACACTTTCATATAGTGTAAAGAAGTCTCCGGATCTTACTTAAATCTGGTTTTAATTGGCAGTTCTGACCATTCTCTGGAAGGAGAAAGGGAGCACTACCATATGACTACTAAGCTGGAGTTAACAGCTCGGATTCCTGTTGGGCCTCTCCCGAACAGGGAGGCTCCTTGTTACACCTGAACAGGGATGGGAGCTCTGGCTCCCCCGTGTGGACTGCACGGATACTGCAGTGGGGCTGGCTTCAGTACCCTTGGGCCACGGTGATATTTCTGACTGCCCACGACGCCTCTGATGCCCACCCCAGTGGGGTATATTCGTATGTTTAAAAATATATATTCGTTATCTCTAGAAAAAAGATAAAAGTAAGCTTCCTTAATGAACTTCTGAGCTTTCCATTTCTGGCATCTCCCTGCTGATTAATTTTTTTTTTTTTTTTTCTTTTTCAGTAAGTCTCTTTACCTGTTCGGGTCTGGCAGCTGTCCAGATGCTTTCTTCACTCATGGTGAATTTTCATATATAGCTACTGTTTTCTCCTATCTTTATTCCAGCGTTTTCTGCTTCTCTTGCTCCTCCTTTGTGCCTCGCTTCTCAGTGTTTACTCCTTTTGAATGTCTGTATCATAGGTGCTCTTTTCAGAGCGTTTCACTTTTAAAATAAACAACCACCAAAGAGGGGGTTAAGTTCAAGTGCTGAGAAGTGCAAGTCAGTGCATCCTGCCTGGAGACACCTCCCTCTGGGGGCAGGGGGGCATCTCAAGTTGACTGTGGAAGGGTCAATAGGAAAGTCTAGCCGAGGAGCTGATTTTGAAGACTGAAACCCATTTCCTCCGAGGAAAGGAAATAGTGCAAAACTATTTGAGGTCATATTTCCCTGCCTTAGCCACTTGAATGGGGGTAGTGGCAATCAGAAGCTATAAATAGATAAACTTTGCTAGAAACACCTTGAAGAACCATCAGGAAGTGGCTGGCCTTGTTCATGGTGTTTTAGAAACTAGCATGTTAGCGGCCGATGGCATCTCTAATTTCATTTTTGCAGATATCCATGGACGTTGTCATCCTTCTGTCACTCTTTGGGATTCTCAGAAGTATCCTTTTGTTTCATGTCCCATCCCCCACCCCCGCCTCTTCACACTCTTGGGTTTCTGGATGGCCAAATAGGATTTGAGTGATTGATCAGCAAGTTTTACTAATGATTTCGATGAGCTTTATTTGTTTGGTGAGTCATTAGCTTTTCCTGGTAATTAGAATTTAGTCGCAGTATTCATACTTGATGTAATTCTGGATAAAGAGTATCCTCGTTAAACTCAACTAGATTTATAATTTCCAGGTCATTATAGAACAATGTATCCGAACCTGTAGTACTTCTCTCTTCTGACGGAAGAACTGTTTTCTTTTGTTTTAAAATATCAAGTATTTTTTTGCTTGTGAAATGACCTACAACCCTGGCTGTGGTTTTAAAAGTAATGTTGGGGCGCCTGGGTGGCTCCGTGGGTTGAGGGTCCGATGCTTGATTTGGGCTCAGGTCACGATCTCATGCTTCATGAAATCAGGCCTCTTCGTAGGTCCTGCACTGGCAGTGAGGAGCCTGCTTAGAATTCTCTCTCTCCTCTCTCTGCCCCTCCCCCGCTCATGCTCTCTCTTTCTCACTTAAAAGAAACAGACATTTTTTTAAAGATCAAAAGTAGGGGCGCCTGGGTGGCGCAGTCGGTTAGGCGTCCGACTTCAGCCAGGTCACGATCTCGCGGTCCGTGAGTTCGAGCCCCGCGTCGGGCTCTGGGCTGATGGCTCAGAGCCTGGAGCCTGTTTCCGATTCTGTGTCTCCCTCTCTCTCTGCCCCTCCCCCGTTCATGCTCTGTCTCTCTCTGTCCCAAAAATAAATAAACGTTGAAAAAAAAAATTTTAAAGATCAAAAGTAATGTTTTCCAACAAAGTGTTTGCTGGGTAAAACTGGTATCAGTCTGGGCTCTAGTAACCCTTTCTTTGGGGAGGCATGTGAGTGAGTCGGCCTTTGGGATCCATTTATTAGATTAATCTTTTTTTAGAATCCTAATTATGCCATATCTGGCGTCTGGAGAAAAAAAAAAAAAGAGGGTAGTGTCCCTGTCCACCTGTGTCGCAGACCCCAAGAAAAGATGAGGCCTTCAGCTGGCACTGAGCAGCCCCCCTTTATCCCCTTAGGGATGGCAGGGAAGATGAAACAGTTATCTGGCTTTATCCAGGTCAACAGAAGAGCGGGGCTGAGCAGGGCTTTAGCTGATCCTTCTTTGCGTGCGTGGGCAGCTGTGTGGCTCCCGGAGCCCTGGCTGAGAGGTGCAGAAGCATCGGGGCGTCTTGCTGGGGTGTGGTGAAGTCGGTTCCTTCCCTCGCCTTCCCGCAAGGCCGAAGGCAGGAAGAGAAGTCGCTGCCTTTCTGCCAGCCGGGTTCTTTTGCAAGTTCGCTCTTGGAGGCACTAATGATGAGTGGGAACCGCTTTCTCTGACTACTTTAAGGTCACCCTAATTGGCTCCTTTGTGTTATAAGGCCTTTCAAAGAGACTAACGACGCATTCTTTGGCTCCCAGCTGCATGTTAATAACACCGTCTTTGGAGTCTGACTTTAAAGCAGCGTCACCTCTGATACTTGAATGATTTGATAGTGGCAACAGAATGATCTAAACTGAAGGTCCTAAGCAGGACACAACTCCTCCGGCCACCCCTGGGGCGGGGGGGGGGGGGGGGGGGGGGACGTGGGCACAGAGTAACTCCCAGGCATGGGCTTTATCGGCCACCTGGCTGTCGTGAATGGCAGCTCCTCAGCAGGTGAAGGAGCCATGCCCAGGGAACTGTCACCGTCAGCATAATGCCGCTGCCTAAACAGTTTCCCTCCCTTCGGCTTGGTTTTCCCACAGACGCTGCTGACTGCGACTGCTGATAAGCTGCATAAGGCAGGAGGTCAACAATCCAGAGACTGCTCTTAATTATTAAAGGATCAACACGTCTTAATGCACGCATCCACCGGGGAGGCCAGAGAACTGGGGCTCGGGGAGAGAAGTCTTCTCCTTCTCTTTACATTGGCAAAAACAAACACACGAAGCAATTGTCGGGGGGGGGGGGAGCTAAAGGGTTGCCCCTCTCTCCTAACTCTAAATTTGGAACTGAGAATATTGGCACCTCTTCCTCTCCAGACTCAAGCTGCCGTGTCATCGAGGAGTGGGTTTGCAGACGTGATCTCCACTTAACGAACTGAACCTTGACTCGGCCCCACGGCAAGGAGCGCTGGGACCCAACAGCCCAGGGCCCCAGGGGAGCTTTGCGCGACTACTCTGCGTTAGTGCCTTCTCTTGTCCTAAATTAAGCTCCTTGACATATAATTATCCATCCCACACACTGAACCTATCTCCAAGGTAAATGTTTCTGCTCGGCGAACACTGGTTCACAGGATAAAAACAATCCTCCTCTGTCTCCTCCCTGTCACCACCGCCAGCCCCGTGGATGAGTCCTTGCTGGGTGCCCTGGGCTCAGGGCTGGGCTGCCTGCTGCGGCGATCACACGAAGCTACAGGTGAGCCCGAGGAAGTGGTGGTTGTGCCTTTTCTCCCTCCTTTTTTCTTTCTTTCCACAATTGGAGGGAAAGGCGTCGGGACCGGTCAAGAGCGATGCAGTACGAAAAGAATCAGGACACCGTTCCGTTGCAATACTTGACAACGTTGCAGAGGAAAAGGGCTTCATAAAAGCAGCGGCCTGGTGGGTTATCTCCAAACGCGTGTGGCTCCCGAGATGAGGACACCATCCCGAAAATTTGACCGCAATGCCTATAAGCTGAAGTACCTGTTCCAGATCTGTGCCAGATGAGGTTTCGGGGGGGGGGGGGGGGTGTCTGCATGAGTACCGGCGAGTTCATGGCAGCTCCCAGGCTTAATTATCATGGTGTTGCTCTCAGTAGCAGAGCAAGCGAGGAACAGAGACAATTCACTCGGGAAGAACATGGCAATGTTAAGCAAATGACCAAGAAACATGGAGAAATGGGCTCAAATGAATTCATAAGCCTGAAATTCAAATGACAGCCCTCTATGTTTATCTATCAGGTTTGCAAAGAGAAAAGAAACAACAATACCCTGTGTTGGCAAAGGGTACCGGGGAGTTACTAGAATCAGACAGACTGGTTTATGCTTCTAGGCTCTTCCTCTTACTAGCACAGGGAACTTGGGCATGTCATTTATGTTCTCTAAGACTATTCTCCTCATCTGTAAGATGCAGATAATATTAGTAACCACCTCCAAGGGGGTTTGGGAGATTTATGTAAAATCATGCTTATAAAGTGCTTAGTGCGTCATCTGACACATAGTAAATGCCCAGTTAATATTCAAATTATAATCATTATTGGAAGCTAGAAACCCAACACACTGATAGGGGAGTATAAACTGGTAAAACCCTATGTAATAAAAACTTGACATGTATGTTAAAGCCTTAATGGTGTGTATACACCTGATTTAAGCACTTCACTTCTAGAAATCTATTTTGAGGAGACAGGACACAATCATATGTTTACGAGGATATCCTTCATGGTATTTGTGACAAAAATGGAAGCAATTTAAATACCCAACGGTAGTTAAAAATGAGTAGTAGTTAGAAAGTAGTAATTAAGAAGTAGTTAAAAATTAAGTTTCAGTCGCTATCTCCAAGAGATGCAGAGCATATTTTTGAGAAATACTTGATGGTGGAGAGAAATGATACGCTGTGAAAATAATGGTTTTCAATTAATGGATTCCCTATTATTTGTATTTTTTATTAATACTTGCTTGTCATTTTAAATTTGTCTGTAATCAGTCAACAAATACTTTTTGGGCATCTGCTGCATATTGGGCACTACGGTGGGCACCATGGATTTGGTAGTGAATAAAGCAGATAGGGTGCGCCCTCGCGGAACTTCTGGTCCACTGAATATGTGTCATTTTTTAACAAAGAGGACTAATAATAAGACAAAAGGGGAAACTATATTTGTTTGTTAGGGTTGCCATAGCTTAGGTGGCTTAGACACAGAAATTAATTAAAAATTTTTTTTAATGTTTATTTATTTTTGAGAGAAATAGAATGAGCATGAGTGGGGGAGGGGCAGAGAGGGAGACGGAGACATGGAATCTGAAGTAGGCTCCAGACTCTGAGTTGTCAGCACAGAGCCCAACGTGGGGCTTGAACCCGTGAACCCTGAGATCACGACCTGAGCTGAAGTCAGACGCTCAACTGACGAAGCCACCCAGGTGCCCCAGAAGTTACTTTTTTTGCAGTCCTGCAGTCTTAAAGTCTGAGATCAAGGTGTTAGCAGGGTGGGTTTTAACCTGAGATCTCTTTCCTGGGCTTGAAGGTGGCCATCTTCTCCCTGTGTCTTCACCTGATCTTTCCCTCTGTAATTGGATCCAAACTTCCTCTTCTTATAAGGACACCGCCAGTCAGATTGGATTAGGATCTGCTCTAGTGACCTCATTTAACTTAATTACCTCTTTAAAGATCTTATCTCCAAAGACGGTCATATTCTGTGGTCATATTCTGTGGTTAGCATTTCAACACATGAACCTGGTTGGGGGAGACAATTCAGCTCATAATAGAAACCATTTGATAATATTTCTTGTTTGACAATTACTCTTTTGAGCTATATGATAAAGACACCATGTGTCTCTTCCTTTTCCTTCCAATGGGGCATTTTTTTTAAAAGTTTTCCCCCATCTTTAATTCTTTTTTTTTTTAAATTTTATTGTTTTAAATTTACATCCAAATTAGTTAGCATATAGTGCAACAATGATTTCAGGAGTAGATTCCTTAATGCCCCTGACCCATTTAGCCCATCCCCCCTCCCACACCCCCTCCAGTAAATCTGTTTTTTCTCCATATTTAGGAGTCTCTTATGCTTTGTCCCCCTCCCTGTTTTTATATTATTTTTGTTTCCCTTCCTTTTTGTTCGTCTGTTTTGTCTCTTAAAGTCCTCAGGTGTGGTATATATATATATATTACTCAGCAATCAAAAAGAATGCAATCTTGCCATATATATTACTCGGCAATCAGAAAGAATGAAATCTTGCCATTTGCAACTATGTGGATGGAACTGGAGGGTATTATGCTAAATGAAATTAGTCAGAGAAGACAAAAATCATATGACTTCAATGGGGCATTTTTAGTCCCTTTGGAGACCCCATTCAGGAAGACTAAGAACATGTACTTCTATTTGAAAAAATTTTTTAATGTTAATTTATTTTTGAGAGATAGAGCATGATTTGGGGGAAGGGCAGGGAGAGAGAGACATGGAATACGAAGCAGGCTCCAAGCTCTGAGCTGTCAGCACAGAGCCCGACGTGGGCCTCAAACCCATGAACTGTGAGATCATGACCTGAGCTGAAGTCGGATGCTTAACTGACTGAGCCACCCAGGCAGCCCCATGTACCTTTCTTTGAAAGCTTGTTCACTGGCCGCAGCACAGGCATGTGTGGAGATTTCATTTTAGGGAAAGGTGACCTTAGATAAGAAGTCCTAAATCACCTGTAGAGAATGGTGACATTCAAGGGTTTCCCTGGCATTTCAAGTCTAAGTGAACTTCAAGTATGAACTTGAGGCTTGAGTCCAGGGTCCCTACCTCAGCCCAGAACTAAGCATTCCAAGTAGACCTCCTAGAGAGGACTTCCCGAGGGTGGTGTCCCAAGGTCTAATCAGATTCAGATGCATAGTCTGAAAATGAAATCTTCTTCAAGGTGTGGCAAGGGCCATCCAAAGAGAATGAGTCATTGATGAACAATAAAACCATTAGCTTCTTTTATTATACATATCCAATTTTACTTTCATTAAAAGAGAGATAAACAAAAGAGGGAATAGATGATTGTTTTCAGCTGGAGAATTACTACAGGGTAAGATTAATATAGACGTGGAAGTGAACCTAGAGACCTCACGTTCATCCCGTTTTAAAGGTTTGGAAATTGGCCCACCAAAGCCACCTAGATTTGCCTCAAATCACACATGTGGTGAACAGCAAAGGCCGATCTAAAATCCAGGGATCTTGACCTTGACCCAGTATCATTTCTGTGATCCATCATGAGGAATGGAGGAAACACTGGATCTGAAATTTCACCCCAGCTGGAGGCCAATGGGCACCCTCTGAGTGCTCTCTCTGGTCTCCTATTTTTTTTTATAATGTAGCCCCTTCTAACATTAACATCCTCCAAGTCTTCCATGGGGGTCACTTATTCTACATTCAGGCCAACAAAGTTGGCAGGTGGGTGCAGATGTATTTGTCAGAGAACGGTTCCAGCCCGCTAACAAAAGGAGCTGTGGTCTCGGGTTTCACCTAAGGAAGCCTGAGAATCAGGAGGTTAAAAAACACAACAACTTAATAAATGTGGAACACGAACGGTAAGAGTTGGCAATCTTGTGTTTTCCACCTCTTACATTAAAGAATGAGCTTCTATGTCACCTAATGATTAACTGCTGATACATTTTATTTGCCTTTTCAGATTCTTGTAATGCAGGAATCTGTTTTCATTAGCAAGTGAAATATCTTCATCCCATTTTCTCCTCCTCTTGAAATGCTAAGCTATAATTTTCAGGGTGCCAAATGTCAAGGGATTGATGAAAGTTAGTTTAGCTTTTCTTTTGGTTTTAATTTTACTTCTTCTTTTTTTCTTTCTTCTCTCTCTCTTTCCTGTATTCTCTTCGGTGTGTGATTAGGTTTGTTTTCAAAAGGTGTTGGAACCTTAGCAAAATTTTCATTAGCATTCCCTGTGCGCGCTTTAATTAAAGGAAACTCATGTTTTTGCTCAAGTCATTGGAGAAATGAAAAGTGTAGTCTGATGCTAAACATGCTTGTACTTTGCATTAATTTAACTGGACCCCCTTCTCTGATATAAGAACAGAAACAAGGCCATAGACCAACAGCCACTCACAGACAAATTCGTAAGTAGCATGGTTCCAAGACGGTTTCCAATTATCTCATGTCCTTTTTGGTTTTAAAGGACAAAGATCTAAATGAGGAGTTGTACCTTTCTGGGTGAAACAGAGCATTAATTGCTGACATTTTTACATGCTGCTGAAGAGTGTACATGAGGTGTAATGCATATAT